ATTTTCATATTCTTTATGTTCAATTTAGATCTTTGAGAAAAGGCCATTGAAGATTAAGAATTATGGCATATGGCTTCTGTGAAACAATTACAGAAACTCGTGGAAAACCTTTCTACTCCGAACATGCCTACGTAGAAATGTTAAAAAAAAAAAACATTGACACAATGCACGCAATCACACGATAAGATATGTTATTATTTCATCTTAATTAGGGTGGATTGCTTAATAAACTGAGTTAGACCTGATCTTAAATAGCCTAATTACCTTTCTGGTTTAAGACGCGTTTTTTTGACAATAATGTAAGCAAATTTAGTAAAAAAAAAATATTAACAAATAATTTTTCTTATATAAATTTATTTAAAAAAAGGTTAAAATCACCTAATTTAAGGTTGCTTTTTAAAAATAAAGTTATAATTAAAAAGATATGTAAAATTCAAAATCAATTTATTATTATTTTTTAATTTATAATTTCAAAAAAAAAAAAAAAGAAAGAAATTATAATATATTAAGTATTTATAATTTAACAAAAATTATATATTTTATATTTCATAATTAACTAAACACCATAGATACATAGGTACTTGTTAAATTATCAAAAAAAAATTAAAATTAAAATTTTATAATAAAAATAATTTTTTATAATGTATTTTTAATATAATAATAATAATAATATTATTATTATTATTTTATTTATTATTTCTATTTTAATAACTTTATAAACAATAAGAATTTTTTTTATAGATAAAAATAAATAAATAAATTTTATTTTATTTTATTATTATTTTATTATTATTTTGTATGTTTTATACTATTTGATTTTGATTTCATTATTTTTTTTTTATTATCCTAGTTTTGTAACCTTGGAATTTTGATGCTAATTTTTAGATAAAAGATTGATAATAATTTATCCAGATTTTATTTATTTAATTAATAATTTTAAAAAACAGAATTTCTATAACTAGCTAATAGATGTTTTATTCTATATGCAATGTTTAACTAGCATTGTATTTCATGTACAGTATCTCATGTCATACGATATACAGATCTGATCTTTGAGATCATAAAATATATTGTATATGGGTAATTATTTTCCAGGGATTTTGGGGTCCTATAATTGTGATCCTAAAATTTGCAATATATATACGTATTTATTTAAAAAAAAAGACCAAAAGATCATATCGGCATTTCTTAGCCTTCACAGATAATTGCCTATATAAGTCAATGTGGTGTAGACAAAAAAAATATATACATGTACTGTATATAGACAATAATTGGATTTTTTTATTTTACCCTAAAGTACTTGAAAAGTTCATACTGGCGCGTCTTACTTAAAACCGTTCTAAAAAAAATTTTTTTTTAATTGTGTATTATAAATCACAATAATCAGTCCGTAGGCCTAATCTTATTAAAGTACCATAAGTCTTCTTCATGATGTTCGTATAGTATTAAACACAAGTTCATTCACAAACGTCATGTTTATGTATCAATTGAAAGATATTGCTATATTGAACGTTCCGCAGGATTCATGTAGCACTATCGAAATTAATGCTTTTGAAAGTGTTAAGTTCAAAAAGATCTCAATTCAAAATTACGTGATCTCTTGATATTTAATCTTGTATATTTTAAATAATCCGTTTGTTTAATCATCACGATCAACGTTAATGGAAATTATGTATCTCCACGCAAAAAAAAAAAAAAAAGGAAATCGATTGTTTAATTGGGATGTAAAACTTCCTTAATTATCGAAAATGGGTCATATTTTAGTTCTAAATTTTTGAGCAGAGAGGAACAAAAAAAAAAAAGTTCCGTTCCTAATACACTATAGCTAATCAAATTGCCGAAGCACCAGTTATAATGTCGACTATTCATGGAAAAAATAATTGTTAGTTAAAGCAACTGGAATTAAAAAATATATCACCAAAAAAAAAATAGTATAATCACGTACTCAATTCATTAGTAATGACAGCTTGTCTGCCACGATTATAAGTAAGAGTCAATTTATCAATCATTTCGCCCGCATTTTTTGTTGCATTTTCCATTGCACTACGTTTTGACGCCATCTCTGATGCATGACCCTCAACTAGGCCCCAATAAATTGAATTAGCAAATGCAAATTCCTTAAGGTTTTCTAGAACATCATCTTCAACTTCGTATGCATCAAAGTTTCCTAATTACATGAATTCAAAGAAAGAGTTAGATAAATTGTTTAACAGTCATCTATTAAACGTTGGAGATCGTGAAATACCGGATTTAGAAAAAGTTGTTTCGGAATATACAGGAATGGTCTCGGCTTCATAAGAGATAACCGATTTGAAGTAATTATAAACAATCACGGCTTGATCAAATTCAATTTTTTCTTTTAATATAGTATCAGCTACAGCGCTTGCTTCAGCGTATGTTGGTACAGCTTTTCCAATTTGATTGAAAGAAAGTTTGATTTTTTCACGAACTGTACGTGAGAGTTGCGATTTTGCTTTGTCGCCCAGTACTACAACATGTGCATTTGGCTTTTCGAGAAGGAGATTGCGTGAATATTTTGACACACTAGAATGAATACCACCGCATAATCCACGATCAGACGAAACGGTAACAACTAGTATTTGACCGTCTTCGGGTGGCTTGGTGTCGGCATTGTTGAAAAGGGCTGAAATTTTAATGAAAAACAGGAACAATTAGGAGAAGGAATTCATGTTAAGTATACAAAAATTGATGGTCATTGCTGACCTGCTTGAGTGGCACCGAAAAATCTTGCAATCTCCATTGCTCTTTGTGCACTGATTTTTTCATTTAGGAGGATGTATTTAATTTACTGTTAAAAAAGAAAATTATCTACTTCTAATTATCTTACCGGGTCATCTTTGTTGATGCAATCATCTTCATAGATTTTGTGATCTTCGAAAACAAGACAAATAGTTAAAATTCGTTCTTTTGTGTTATAGCAAAACTCTTTTTTCATCAAAATTATGGGTACACCTTGGCAATGCTGTTTACGGACTTTAATCGTAACTGAACTAAAAAAAAATAATCAATGCATGCGAAAATTTAAAAAGTAAAAATGAATGAGTTTGGGCTTACTTTCTTTCAAGGTGGCATAGTTTCGACCTTGATAGCCAACACTAAATGAAAAATTAAAGGGCACCAGAAGGTTCGCGTAAAGTTGCTAGTGAAAAAACATATTTTTGATGTCATATACAAGAGATGGAATTCCATTTGATAGAAGTTAACTACCTAAGAGCATTGCTATTAACCACCGCAGGGCGAACGACTCGTGCAAACATCTTTGTTAAAAAAAATCGAACCAGGATAAGATTATCACATCAATTAACATAGGTGACGTATCACATAAAATTCGAAAATTATCGAATCGTTGATCTTTCTTTTCTTTCACATCCATTCCATCGAAAATGGGTAGAGTAAGTAAATTCAACTTTAAAAATTGGGCAGCGCCTAATATTACAACCGTTCTACTATATAATATTCGAAAGGAATGTAAAATTTTTAAGTAGTAGAACGGTTAAACTGGAAAAAGATCAATCTCGAAATAATGAGTACTAACCTTTCAAATCCTTAGTTGCACGAATATCAAGTGGTTGGTCGTAAACTTCCAAGTGAAAAGGATCCTGTTCCAAGGCTCTATCGTATGAGGCTTTTTGCACCTAATGAAGTCGTCGGGAAGAGTAGATTCTGGTATTTTTTAACAAAACTAAAAAAAGTTAAGAAGGCTGCTGGCGAGATCGTTTCTATCAACGAAGTAAATAATCGAATTTTTGTAAAAACGGACTAATATATAATAAGTGGTGAGGTTTCGATAATTCAAAAAATCGATTTTCATATTCTTTATGTTCAATTTAGATCTTTGAGAAAAGGCCATTGAAGATTAAGAATTATGGCATATGGCTTCGTTATGATTCTCGCTCTGGAACTCACAACATGTATAAGGAGTACAGAGAGTTGACTAGGTAGGTGCTTTCACTAATCCATTTTTTACAATATGAAACATGAGTTATAACAAAATTATCATTTTATTTAAATACATACAGAACTGACGCTGTTTCCTCTGCTTGTAAGTAACTTCATGTGTTTTTTTATCACGATTCACATGACTTATTTTGCTTTTAATGACAGATCAAGACATGGCTGCTCGTCACCGTGCTAGATTTTCGTCCATTCAAATCATACGCGTTGCCGAACTGAAACCTTCTCAAGTAATTACGCTTTTTTTCTGCAGTCGATTCTAGCTCTCACGCTGCATATGATATTTACTACTTTCTTGTAATTTAGGTCAAACGTCCTTATATTAAACAGCTCATCGATCCCAAAATTAAATTCCCGCTCCCTCATCGGGTTGCTCGTGGAAAAAAGACTACTTTCTTGGCCAAGCGACCCTCCACTTTTTATTAGATGTTTCTTTCATCATGATTTTGCCGATTGATTTATTTAAAGAAAGTGGTCATTAAAAAATGCGCACCGATTCGTACACTCAAGCATTGCTTGTGGGTTTTTTATTTCTTTGAAGGAATTTGTTTTATTTACAATGAAACAAGTTACCATTTGAATAAAAAAGCAAATCAATTGCAACTAATAAAAATCCTTAACGAGTTAAAAGATAACTATTGTTTGCCTTAAAACTTATTAAGGTCAAACCAATACTTCACCATTGCTGTCCTCAACTATGTTACTACGCCAATAATACTTTTTATACAGATGAGAAATAAATAAAATCTACATAGGGTTAACCGAAGGTTTTTTTTTTTGCATTGGATTTTTCGGATTATTATTAAACCAAAAAAGTTCGGGTTCCGGAGAAAAGTATATTATTTTGGGTGGTTTTTTTTTTTTTAAGAAAAAAAGAAATTAATATATATAAAGTTATTGTTCATGGTGTCAATTGAAAAATCAAAATTTTCAGAGCCGAGATTAATCCAATCCGGGAATCTCGAAATAATGCTTAAACATATTCTCGTTCCTGATTGACTCTGACTCAGCAATCACGTAATACACGTGCAACATAAGTTTCGAAAATCTCGAAGTAAAATAAAATAGAAATCCCTCGGGTACTTCGCCCAAAGATTTCTTGACATGGTCCGGTAGATCTTGGTAATGATGTTTCTGGAAAAAAAGGTTTTTCGGAGAGAAATGTCATTATCATATGTGTCGGTGGGATCTGACCTAATTCACAAAACTAACCTTATTTCTAAGAGCCCTTAATAGGTCTCTTATTCGAGATCCATCATACTTTCGATATCTCCCTAAATTTTCCACCAAAACTTTATCAATTTGCTTATACCAATCAGTTCCTATGATTTGAATTGCATTTTGTTCTAATCGCTGAAGTAGTGGAGATGGTGGATTTCTTTCTTCAATTTCAAATCTGTCTGAAGCATCTTGTAAAAATCCAAGACGTTTTGAAGGTGACCAGAAATAGGGATGAATCATCACTGTTTCGGCTCTTGGTCTAGAATAGAGATATACATATGAATAGGTATACACGTGCACAAAATGAAATGGTGATTATCAATAGTTCTATATAACATACCTCTTCTTTGGATCGCGTTCGATCATTCTCTCTATTAGGTCTCGAGCCTCGACACCATCCTCGCCTATTCCATCCAACTTATTTAAATCGTAAACCCCCTTCAGAATGTTAACTTCTCTTGAATAACGATCTCCAAATGGATGATCGCCCCCAGATAATACATAGTAGAATAAACAACCAGCAGAAAAGATATCAATCGCTTTGGTAACTCTACGTGGTTGGTCACCGTCATGTTCGGAACTAGTGGACGAAGAGGATGTGAAAGAATTATCATTTAATCGATCCACCGAAGTCCAAACCTCTTCCGTATTATTGTTTACACCATCAGGCGTCGGAGGTAATAGCGGTGACAATAATTCTGGTGCCCGCCAACCAATCGTTCCTCCCGCATTGTTTGTAGTATTGTGAAAACTGCTTGATTCCCCTTCCAATTTTTTGCACAAGCCAAAATCAGATATTAACACTCTAACAGACTTAATCTCATGCAAGACCCCATCCTTTTTGGTAAATTTGTGGTGTTTCGAAGGTGCTAGAAGAATATTTTGGGGTTTGATATCTCGGTGAACAATCTTCATTAAATGCAAATGATGCAGACCTGAAATAATTTGATAAAGAATTTTTGATGGATGAAGTGATGACAGGAGATTCGCATGTTGAAACGTCGAGCCTCTCTCAATTAAATCATACAGTGATGCGGGACAAAGTTCGAGAGCAATATATAAGAATCGATCACATTGTTCTTTACAATAATATCGGATGACATTTGGATGATCATCGCTTTCTTGAAGCAATGAAACTTCGTGGTGTGCGATTTCGTAAAAATCCAACAGTAAACGTTTCACTGCAACATCTCGACCTTCGAAAGATCCTTTATATACAATAGTACCATGACTTCCATAACCTGTTTAAACGTGAATCAACATCAATGCTTCTAAATTCCCAGATAAAAAAATATATTTAAAGGCAGTAATTATGAATACCTAAAATTGTGTCCGTAACCACTAATGAATTTAATTTCAACTCGCCGTTGGATGTAGTTGTTGCAGATGAGACTATGCTATTGATCTCTGCCGTAGAAATGACATTGACAGACTGAGTTTTGTTGTTCGGAGTAACGGTAAGGTCTTCATCAACCTGCACAGAACTTTTGGAAAGTGGAAGTTGAACCTTTGGTGGAACCTGAAATCGCACCTTTTCCACTTTTTCCTCATCCTTAACATCTGTCTTTTTCGTAGCTGCCGTTGTACTTTTCCCATTTTTCTTTTTCTTTTTATGGACATCTTTTTTTGCAGCCCCTTTCGTGACTAATGTATCTTTCAATCCATCATCAAATGAATTAAATTGTTGAAATTCTGGTAGTCTTGATTTCATAAAGTTTACAATACTACGCTCGATCCAGGGCTTTATGTTGTTTCCTTCTTTTCTACTCCAATAAAATATTCCAAAAAATAGAATAACCGCAACCCATGACATTCCTACTTGTGTTACAGTTCTTCGGCGTTCTGGCTCAAAAACTTTAATCTTCTCGTCATTTATTCTGTTAGAAGGACCTTCGATACCAGGTCGATGTTGCTCGGACGGGACCATTATGTGATTTCCGACCAAACATGATGGAAAATTTTTTGATCCAGGGTGGCAACGTTCTTCATCTTCCGGCGATTCTCGATCTTCAACTTTACCACCGGGAATTCGATAGGCCATGAACTGAGTCAACGGATAGTTTTCAACCGACATAGCAAATAAAGTACCGTCAACGTCACCAATGTATGCGGATAAATGAGAAGGTGAATTCAATTTTTTTATGTGTTCATAGTACGTGGCGGAAGGTTTAGGCTGTCTAACAATATGGAGACCGCTAGGTAAATCCTTCGATGCTAGCACGTCAAAGATTCCCACTGCAGGAGAGGAAAACGTCTGGTACCAAGCGTGTTGGCCTTTTCAAATTATTAAATGCACAATAACATGTCTTTATGAGATAACACGAGTTATTTGTTTGCTGATCGCGAATTGGATATTCCCGCAATATTATAAACGAAACTTACCTGACGTAGAATCTGTTGAAAGAACTTCTCCACTATGAGTGGAAGCAATGTAAAGGCCATCGGGCGAAGTTTTATGTTTTGCTTCAATATTAGCATCAAAACTATTAGGCACATATTCGGTGTATGTGAGATTCCATTTAGGTACACCGTGTTCGTCAAATATTGAGATTTTATATGCTGTTATAGAAGTTGAATTTTAATTTGATGTTGAATGACGGATACTGTTATATAACATCATTAAATACCATTCATTCCAATGTACAAAGCATCTCTTGGCAATGCGCCTACCGAAGGACATTCATTGTCATCCTCATTGCTGAAAGTTTGAAGCATCTTTCCTGTCGCCGGATCGATAGCAAAGAATTTTGTAGATTTACTACCAACAATGAAAACTTTACCATCAGTAGAACGAAATGGTGAACTCATAACTAATTGCTTTACGGTGTATGGAAATTTCTAGTTTCATCGGTAGTTATTAATCAGCAAACGGATTTCTGAATTTTATACAAATACTCGATGATAAGCATAATATAGAGATGGTGAGAGTTACCTGAAGCCCTGTCTTTGGAGAGAACATGTACAATATGCCATCGTTGTTTGGCTCAACGATATACGTAATTTTATCTGAATCGTTATCCGAATCGTCATCCTCTTCGTTAGTATCATCTTTCAGTTTCGTTAAGCGCGAATCATCTGATTCTTGGTGGTTGTTCCCTTGATCGTCATTATTGTTAAGCGCGCCATTGCCAACTTCAATGTCAATAATGGCATCACCATTTCGGTCAGTATTTTTAGTAGAATTTGGTTGCTTGGTAGAAGGTCGCGTAAAAGTTCTAATCAAAGAGCCACCCGTAGCTCCTTCTAAGCACCACAACACTTTGCCAGTATACCGGTCGACACCGTGCAGGTTGCCATCCAGCGTGGAAATGAGCACCAAATTAATGGGACTGAGGTCAAGTTTAGGAGGTGGTGTATTAGAAAAACTCACTAAACGTTTAATGTGTGGTGGACGAAGTTGTATGAGATCTTTGGAGTCAAGTCTTGACTTGGCACAGGAAAAAATTATGTGAAAAGAGATTATAAAAAGCGCCCACAGAAAAGAAGAGCGCAGAAAAGAAAGCTCAAGTCTGCGCGGCCTCATCGTTTCCAATCCAGATGTTTATAAATATGTTGACACTGTTTACATGCAGTTGAATAATATATATAATATATGCTAATTCTTTAACAAACCCTATAAGAGTACTTTGAGAATTCTTGGTTGATAGTGATAACAACGATAGAAAAGCTTAATTGTAGTGCTTTTTTTTTTTTTTTGATTCATAACAATTACGAGTTCCCGTGATATTATAGTTCTTCCTGTGGCTAATTTCATGCAGGAAACTTATTATGTTTGTCGCATCTTCCATATGAAGATATTTCTAGACCATTTTATGAATTTTAGAGCTTTAATATTGATCACGTGATTGACTCAGCAAATACGAAAATCATTATTGTTATTATTATTTATGAATTTTAAAAATGTTTTGTAGATAAACTATTACTTTATTAGTTAAACACTAACAAATATAGATAACCTTTCCTAAATACATTCTCTTTAAATATATGCACTTTTTAAATAATAATCTCAAATTGGGTCAATAATATTAAATGCATTTAACAGTATATTAAATTTTTATTAAAGTTGATTTTTTTTTTTTTTTTTTTTTTTTTTTTTTTTTAAGACTAGCTTAACCTTGCTTAGCAAACTTTATTTACATATATTCGTACACATTTCTGTATATAAACTATGCTATAACATTAATTGATGAGTATATGTTAAACTATATTGAGGTTCCCTAGATATCAGCTATTGCTATCAACTTTTTCTAATGGATAAAGGTTGAAACTAACGTGCCAAGGCATCGCTATTGTTAATGTCACTGGTATATAAATAGAAAAAATTGTTTCTTGTCA